GATACGGTGATGAGTGAGGGCAGCCTGCACTCGGGCGGGCACCACCACTACTACTATGATACCCATACCAACACCTACTACCTGCGCACCTTCGGCCACAACACCATGGACGCCGTGCCCCGCATCGACCACTACCGGCACACGGCCGCCGACCTGGGCGAGAAGCTGCTCCGGCCCAGCCTGGCCGAGCTGCACGATGAGCTGGACAAGGTGAGAGGCGGCCCCCGGGCTCCCCCGGCTCCGGGGGTGCAGCGGCTCCTCGGAGCGTGTCGGCAGAAAAGCTAAAAAAAAAAAAAAAAAAAAAATAATAAAAAAAAAAATAGTCGAAAGCTCGCCGAGCCTCGAGGAGGCGCAAATAGCGCGGGTGCATAGCTTGCGTCTCAGTTATGTTATTTTTTTTTTTTGTCTTTTCGTGACGCAGTGGTATCCATCCTCCCCCCTAACACACACACGTGCTTTTGGGAGATGGTCTCCCAGTGCGAGAGGTGATTTAGAGCTGTAGGTCTGTTCTCCCCGTCACTGAGCGGGGATCTCTTACAGGTTTTCCACTTCCAAATCTCCTCCAGCAGGTAGGGTATTAATTTGGAGGCTCGCCATGGGAACTAGTCTGGGGAGGGGAGTGAAAACATTTGGAAGAGACGCTGAAAAAAAAGTAAATAAAAAAGAGTAAATAAATAAGGATGGGCTAGCTTTGGTAGCAGGCGGAGGTTTTGTCTGTGCGGCGCCGAGGCAGAGCTCGCTGGATCCGATGGGATCAGGATCGGATGCTGCTGGATCTGCACAGGCACCGATCCTGGGCGAGCCTTCCAGGGCTGCTCGGTGGCCCCTGCGCCGCGGTCAAGGCTTGAAAAATTTCGGAGCTGTGCGTCTCAAGCTTTTTTTTTTTTCTATTTTGGACTACGAGTCTGTGTGTTACTTGAGACGAGTTGACAGTGAGAGCCTTCTTTGCATTGCCCGCTGTCTTGGCTAGACGGCGGGTTTTAGCTGAACGCAGAATTAATTTCCCAGACTTTTTTTCTTTTTAAATTATCATCACTAAACTAACGCTAGATAAAGATGAAGCTCTTGCAGTGCTGTTTTCTGAAAGTTCGAAAATTGGTGTATGGCTGTTCTCAGAAGCCTGTGTTTTAAGTGGGGTCTTTCTGCTGAGTTTAGGGAAATGAAATGCATGGGCCACATTCCGAGGAAGTGAAGAATATTTTGTTTTCAGAACTTTTTTTTTCATCCCACCTTGCACTCCTTGTAGGTGCAGTTCCATGAAGACGTATGTTCTTAACAGATTTACCTGTTTCCCACCATTGTTAGGCTGCTTAGTGCATCAGCACTGATATGTGGCATTTGGGGTTTTTTTGGGGGGGGGTGGTTCGTGGTGATTTTTCAGGTGTGTTTTTTGACACTGACTGTGAAATTGTTCCAATATAACTGGTAGGTTTATTATAAAGATACTTGTTTATGACATCTGAGGTGTCAAATTTTAATTACTAACACTAACTGCAAATTACTCCTGCCTTCCAGGTTCCCTTTTGATGGAGCTAAATGATGATCTGTGGTCTGATTCTCAGTTAGTATGAAATCGAAATTGGCAGTTCCTGCCATGTGTTTGGATTTGGGTAAACTATAGAACACACATATATGTGAAACCACATTGGTTTTCTGTCCTCCTGCTCCCCCAAATTTCTGACTCCTTGTCCATGATGGGATGACCGGGTGTTGGATACTCAGCTTTGTAAGCAGAACACTCCTCGAATTTCTAAGGTTGGCAGATAGGTTTTTCAGTGTGTTAATGTTGCAGCACTCTGAAAAGCTCTTTGACATCATTAAGATATTTCACAATATAATATATTCTGGAACTGTAATTTCTAAAATTGTAATTTCTTTATTACGAAGAAGTTCATGGCGAGGAATTTTCTATGTAGTCTGTGGCATAGAGGAGTGGTGGACAATCTAATTACAGGGTCATTATTAAACTAGTTTCATAGCATCAGTTAAGTCAAATTACTAATTTCTTTAATGTCATTATTTGTTCTGCAGTGTGGATAGGTGTACATGTGAAAGTTATTTTAAAGTCATGTCCTGTCTGCGTGGCCCTCTCCTCCCATAAAATAAATATTGGGGATGGAATATGGAATTTTGGTTGCATTTGATTGCTAAGTATTAGCTTTTTAAAACGTCGTGTTATAAACTTCAGAATTTTAAGTTGAAGTTCAATGGGGGAGTATCTTATTTTGTCACAGGATGTTTAACATCCAAAGCAATTAAAGCGTTAGCAGCCACTTAAGTTTATATGAAGAAGGGAAGCCATTATTTTTGCTTCCAACTTAGCAAAACACTTTCCAAGATAAAGCTGTGAACACAAAAGCTTTTAATAAGGCCGTGTTGTGCATGCTAATAGCACTGGATACCTACATTCCTGACAATCTCAGGAGTATGAAATACATCTCATCTCCCACATTACATACTTGGTCTGTGGACACAGAGCCCCGATAACTTCTGAATCAAGATGGTGCTGTACTTTTACAAGGAAGATGATCCAAAGCTATTAGGCTTTTTTTTACTGTTTCCAGGGGGCTTATTGTCTCCATTCTCAAAGTGACTTCACTTCCTGCTGACTAGCCAGTCTCTACTGTTGAATAACACTGCATTTGGAAAAGTATCTTACTGACTTTTGGTACTGTGAAGAATTAACCTTACTCTTTAGCTGTGGATTTTGTACCAGTTTATCAGGTACAGCATGTCCGTGTAAGGCAGTTGGTACAAACATCCTAGTACCCTTACATAAAGTTTGCACTGTGTGAATACCTATTGTTGTGCCTCTGCTCTTGACCCAATGCATCAAGAGTGGCATGTACTTTGTGTACAGAATGATCCAAAACTGTGTACCAGCAGTATGGTTCACTGCTTTGAATGCAGCTATTTTATCCAGCAGTTAGAGTCCGTGCTATTCTGTTTGCTTTTAATAGGTAGATAAATGTGAGGCAATGTTGGAGCATTGTTGATGCCAGTGCCAGTTATAGAACAGATTTTTATTTTTTTTTTCCCTTTAGCTTTGTTTAGAAGCTTCATCTGTCTAACACTTCTACTGATACTGTTCTCACAGAAAAGCAGTGTTGGAAGAAGAGTGTTTGAGGAAGACACACACACATGTACTGGAGAGGTCCCATTTCACAAGGGTTTGTCCTGCAGTCCTGGTGGGATAGGTGTTTGTTGGTCACTCCAGCAGCAGCTTTTCTCACAAGAAAGGGATTGTTTTTGAAACTACCTGTGGAAACACAGCTGAATGATGCTGCGGTACCCTGAGGTGGATGAATTGCGTAACACTGGTCTTGGTTGATCATATTAAACTCCAGGTGAGGGGTCTTGTCTTACTATGTCATTGGCTACAGATAACTAAGGTGATCAGTCTGTTCCTTACCCACATGTATTGATGTCTGCATTAGAGAGATGAGAGAGAGAATTTGGTGATGCTGTTGCAGTTGCTATCTTGTAGATGAAAAGAATGTGTTGCAGGAGCTCTGGTCTCCAGAGATGTTGAGGTGAGAGGATGTTTATTAGCAAAAAAGTGGTGGGGGGGGAAGAATGACATGCAGGTTTTTGTTGCAGTGGTGTCCCCTTCCTTCTTGAGGGGGATCTTCTTCAGACAATGGGAAGATAGAAAGCGTTCTTGCTTCTCTTAACTTTTTTTACTGTCTTTCAGCTTTTCGTGGATCAGTTACATCTGTACATAAAGGTACAGCCTGTAGAAATAACTGCACATGCCTTTGTGCTCCTCAGTTTATCAACACCCTGTCATAATATCACAGACCTTATTGTTCTGACAAGTGTATACCCTTAGAGTATTGAGACCTGTACGCTGTGGTCCACTGAAATAATACAGGATTTTTCTGTACAGCATTGAGTTAATTAGGGAGCTTATGTTTTTTCCTTAGGACTAGATCTCGCTGTATAGAGCGTTTCTGATTTGATCCTTGTGCAGTCCCTCGCAGCTGTGGTGAGTGGATGTGGTGTGAACCAAGCCCTCTGCTGGCAGCTCTGCTCTGCTGTCTGTTAAATACTCACCGAGAGCCCTGAACAGGGTAAGGCACTGATCTCAGAGGAAGATCCTTACACCACCTCCACACCCCCCCTTCCCCCGATCAAATTATAAATCAAAACAAAAAGAAATCCCGAAGTATTTAAAAACACAAGTGTGCTTTGCTTCCTCCCACACAAAAATCTGTGCACCTGTCATCTGCATTTAGAGACAGGTGTAAGAAAAAAAGGCAATTGCTGGTAGTCCTGATACAGATTGAGAAGGTTTTTTTTGTTTGTTTTTACTCAAGTTGGATGACTGTAATTGTTTTCAGTTATCTTTCTGGCTTTGTAAAGTATTTTCTCAAGCACTGCAGTTTTTCCTCTGACCTGATGACTTCAAATGTTTAACATAAGCGCAGTGGAAAGGTCTGTGTATGGCACTGCTTTCTAATGAAAATGTATTCTGTCTTGAGAATGTTATACAACTGCTGCACCTCTAATATTTGTTTTTATTTCCTTTCAGTTTGTGGTTTATGTTTGCTTAGCCTGCAAGGAAGGCAGAACTCAGCTAAAGATACATTAAAGGCTAAAAGATGATTCTGGGTATCAAGTTAGCTGACCCTGTTACATAAGGTGTCTCTTTAAAAGCTCCTTCATTTCACTCTCATGGAAGATTGAGACCCTCTTGCAGATAGTTTTTATTGCACTACCTTGCTGAATCTTGTTTACAGTTTGTAGGTCTCTTTATTTCTTGAGTTCCTGTTACTTTTAATTTAAATTACGTTTCCTTGCTGTCCTTCATATATGCGTGCAGAATTTGAATCTTCTTTCTGAAGTTCACTGTACCAAAATAAAACAAGAGAAGCTCTCTTAGCTCTTAGTCTTGCTCTCAGTGCTGTTGTGTGTCCCAGAAGCCTATAATTGGTCACTGTTCTTTCATCGCTTTTAAACAGCAGTGACCTTAATGCACCTGTACTCTGTGAGGCTTTACTTGGATCGTGCAGGGGGATGATTTTTATGCTTTTTTGGCCTGTGTTGAGAAAAATCGCTTTGCTTATCCTGATACCCCACTTCAGCACGACCATTTTTATCAGGGAAAAAAATGAGTGTACTGCTGTGTTTGCGGTAGTAAATTATATTAGTGTTCAAGGGTTTGTATTTTGTAAAGACTTGGTATAATTTGTATTTTTATGTTGCTT